GTTTGTTACGAGTTTCTTGTCCTAAAAACATTTATAGTTTGGTTCTGTTAGTCCGAAATTCAGATGGACGAACAGGCCTCATAATAAGCATGACACTGAGCACTAATTAAGGAGTATATTTAGATAAAACTTACGAAAATAAGGAGCGGATTAATCTCCCGGATTGGTCATGTATACAAAAATATTCCGATAATCTACACTGTCCAAACATACCCTCAAAATTGGATTCCGATTTAAGCTTCGAAATTGGAATTGCCCCTAAAGAGACCTTGTAGATATGAAGAGTCTTTTGACAAACATACCCTCAAAATTCTTGGATTGTAACGGCACGTTAGCTAGTCTTCAAGGAGTCGAGGAAAAAAAAACTCTTATTTATTTAAAAAAAAAAAATACAAAAGAATTTTTTGTTTTAGTTACTTTTACTTGAGTTCTTTTTAGCTGTATAAAACTGCACATATTATTTCCTCAATTAGGAACAAGAGAGGAAGAAAGCCAAAGGTTTTTGAGGGGTTCTAATAGAGCAACTACTCGTCCTCATCTGGTTGCGTGGGATCAGTTGTGCATGGATAAAGATCATGGAGGGCTGGGTCTGAGGAAGATGAAGGAAGTTAACAGGGCTTTTATTATGAAAATTGGTTATGGGATCCTTTCTAATCCAGAAGTGCTTTGGACTAGAGTTTTAAAGAGCAAGTATAAAGTTCAGTCTGATTTGGTTCCTAATATTTCTACTACTCGGAATAGCTCTTCTCTTTGGAAAGCAATTGTTTCGTCTTGGCCTGTGTTATTACAGCATTCCAGAATTTTGCTAGGTAATGGAAATTCTACTCATTTTTGGGATGACCCGTGGGTTCCGGGTTGTGGTGCGCTCTCATCCTATGCTGCAATTTCTGATCCCTCTCTGATAAATCATCAGCTAATGGTCTCTGATCTTGTCTCATCCTCGGGAAGTTGGATGTGGGGGGCTTTCCAACATAGTCTGCCCGATCACGTCAATGCTCGTATAAATAACATCCTTCCTCCTTCGGATGTTAATGGTCATGACCGGATTTTGTGGACAAGGACATCTGATGGGAGTTTTTCGCTGAAGTCCGTTTATATGGCCATATCCAGGGGTGACGATGAATCTACCAATTTACCTTGGAATCGCGTTTGGCAGTGGCATGGACCTGAACGGATTTGTACGTTCCTTTGGCTGTTGTTAGGAGATAAAATTTTGACAAATGAAAGGCGTTGCAGACGGCACATGGCGGGTTCAGATATATGTCATCTGTGTAATTGTTTTACGGAAACTTCCTTACATGCGGTTAGAGATTGCATTGCAGCAAAAAAAGTGTGGGAGATTGCAGTTAAGCGAGAGGCTTGGGAGGATTTTTCTCTCTTAATCTTTCGCAATGGGTGTTGTCCAATATCTCTGAGGATCATAATTGGTCCAATTTGCCATCATGGCCTCTTCTGTTTGGTATCATCTCCTGTTTCATTTGGCAAGCTAGGAATAAGAAGATTTTCCAGGGATCTTATGTTCCTGCTTATGGCACTTTTAGAGCTGCTATGGTCTATGGTGAAGAAATTTTTGGTCAGAAAACACGCTTCGGGTTGCTGGTCTTGAGACTAACTCGAATAAAGAGATATTAGTATCTTGGGTTTTTCCTTCGGACCCTTGGGTTAAGCTCATGTGGATGGGTCAAGTATGAATAATGGAGAAGCTTCTGCTTGTGGGGGTGTATTCAGAAATGCTAGTGGTAGGTGGCTTGTTGGCTTTTGTAAAAATCTTGGCTGCGGTAATGTTTTGTTAGCAGAACTTTGGGGTTGTCTCCTTGGGCTTGAGATTGCATGGAGGAAAGGTTTCCGTTTTGTCTGGCTTGAAGGTGATTCCTTAGTAGCCCAGTATTCCATAAGAGAAGGGTGCAGTTCTCATTATCCAGCCTCTAACTTGGTCTTGCGCATAAGGAATATGCTGGATTGGAATTGGAGGGTTAGAATTTCCCATATTCATAGGGAAGGGAACGGGGTTGCCGCCTCTTTTGCTTACTCCTTTAATTGGTCTTTACAAGAGTTTGACTCGCCTCCTTCTGGTTGTCGTGACAAACTTGAAAGGGACTATGTAGGAGTAGTTTGGTCTAGGAGGTGTTCCTAGTTTCTTTTTTGTTTTTCTGTTTCCTGTTTGCTTTTCAAAAAAATGAAAACTGTATTGTCGAACGCAGACAAATTGATTGAAATATATTTAACTATTGAAATTTGAATAAATTAATTATTTATGTTAAAATAATTATTTTTTATTCATACATGTACATATCAATTTGTATTCAACAACTCTAAGGGGGTGTATTGAATTAGAATTTTTTTATAAAAAAAATTAAGGTTATTTTTTTTATAGATTTTAAAAGACTATTTAGAATTGGATAGATTTTAAAAACTTTTTTTACTATCAAGATTTCATAAGATTGGATTTTAATAGAATTTATAACATTTGAAAGGACAATATGAAATTTTAAGATTTTAAAAAATCATATGAATTTTTAACAAACATTCAAAATTATAAGAGTCAATAAAAAATAACAAAAAAATGCAATGATATTAATAAAAAAAAGTAAAACCTAATATAATTTTCTCAATCAGTAAAACATAAAATAAATTTTAACAAACACTTAAATTTACTAAGCAACAGTTCTCGTTAATATTCTAAAGTTATACTAGTCCTCCACGCATTAGCATCTTCTCGTTCCTGCTCTTGGGTTTGACCAATCAGTTGCAAATTATCTTCTTCATTAACTGGTGATATTGAAATTGAAGATGCATCTATTGATTCAATTGAAAATTCATCTAAATGTCATTCTTTTCAAAGAAAGTTGTATTTTACATTGAAATGGAGGTGCTGACTTAAAAATTGTGAACTGTGATTTAAAATGCCAAATATCCTCTCAATTACATTTCTCAATAATGTATGACGAAGATTGAATAATTAATTTGCATTTTGAGGGTCATTTGTCGGATGTACAGTGACTGCATCTAAGCATTGGTGTAGTTATATAAAACTACGTCGTTTTATAGTGTGAAAGCATTAAATATGAGGAATCATAACCATACAAAGGTGAAAATAAATATAAACCATTAAATATGAAAAATCATAATCATACAAAGGTGGAAATAAATATAATATTTTCATTTTCAACAATTAACTTTGAATATTCCATCCAGAATGATGTCGTTTTTAGTTGACAGTACGAAACGTTATATACAGTGACAGTACAAATAATAAATATATATATGGTAGCGCTTGCCACCGGATTATTAGGATTTTTAATATGTATCATTGCCAAACACGAAGAATATTAGAATTTTATGCTCATTATAATCCAAACAATATACAAAAGAAGGATGTCGACGAAGAATGTATGTGGTAAGCTTATTAGTTCAATTTCAAATTGAAGACGTGAGCACTAGGGGTGCTAAATGAACTAGGGGCCTTTGGCTCGGCTCGTGAAGGCCTGAGCTTACATGTCTAAAATTGATTGTTGGCACCAGGCTTAGACTTGTATAAAAGCTCGTTTAGTAAAAAGGGCCCTGGCTTAAACTCAAAAGCTCGACCTTAAAGTCTCTAAGGCTGACCTAGTATATATATATATATATATATATATATATATATATATATATATATATATTATATTACTTGTAATAGCCCTCTCTTTCTCCTCAATCCATTTCACTCCATTTTATTGGTTAAACAGACTTTTTGAATAATTTTGTTCTATATTATGTTGTTTGGATATAAATTGAATTTATGAATATTTATGGAATTACTAGTGTTGTTGATTGTATATTCTGTTTGGATAAAATTTTGTTGTTTTATTTTTTTAAAACAGGCTAAACAAGACTTTTATTTTTTGTAAATAAGTCAGGCTATAGGCCGATAATTATATTTATAACAGGTAACAGACTTGGTCAGACTGACACATTTAAACACAAGCTCAGCCTTTTAAGACCAAAGCTCGACACGGCTTGGCCCGTTAACACCCTTGGACTGAGCAAGTACATGTTTATCGTCAGCTCTATACAACTTTGGTAAAAAACAATAATGAAGCACATCATTAATCATGAATGAGGAAACATGTAACCATTAATCATGAAGGAGGAATACCAAAACATGAGAAAATATACGAGAATAAAAAAAAAATATACATTGGCTTTGAGAAAAGGCTGGAGTAGATTGTGAGACATTACAATAGATAAATTTTAAAAAATTCTAGGAGTTAGGGTGAGATTGTAAGAGAGACATCCTATCTATCTATATTTCTCACTAAAGGTTTCACGAAATCCACGTCAATAGAAAATTAATTAAAATCGTCAAATTTTTTAATACCATAATATTGTTTTTCCTTTATTTGAAATCCTGATTGAATACCAATGAATTTGGACAGACTTTAAAATAATTTTTTAAAATTTTAATCAAATACCACGTAACTTTCTTTTAATCAAATACTAATAAAAATCTTTATTTAAAAATAATATATTAAGATCTTTCAAAATCTCAATCCAATTCATACTGCTTAAATAAACATGTAAAACAAAAAAACCCAGTAAACAATTTATAGTATATGATCAGCAATAAAAAATTATACTTATCTTGAATGACACAGATGAAGTTACTGGTAATAGAAAAAACATTTATAATCGGTAATGTTAATAATTTATACGACATCCCATCGTACGACACATGGTCATACCGCATACCTACATTTGTAAACAATATATATTATACTCATACGATCATCGATTAAAAGAAAATAAAATTATACTTATCTTTCACGACACCGGTGAAGTTACTTGTAATAGAAAAAAAGACATATATTCAGTAATATTAATAATTTATACGATATCCAATCAAATCGCATAAGTGAGAGAAAATAAATAAAAATGTGTTGCCCCGGGTAATAAGGCATTAATAAGCATAAAAAAGAAAGAAAGAGAAAGTAATATTAATAATGATTGGAAAAATAGAAATAGAGAGAGAAGGTAAGGAACGATATTTCGGAGAAGCTTCGCAGGTGTGACTTACCAGTTGCCGGCCATCCAACGCCAATTTTTCGTCTCTTCGTCTTCTTTCCCCTAAATCACAGCGGAACAGAACGCAACAGAATAATAACTAGTTGGTTGCAGAGAGAGAGAGAGAGAGAGAGAGAGAGAGATAACCGTTGCTTGGTGTGGTGCGGTGTGGTGTGGGCTCCACCTCTCTTCTCTAATCTGGATTCATCTTCTTCCTCTTCCAAGTCACAGGCAACTACTCTCTTTCTCTCTTCCTTTTCTTTCTGGTTTGATCTGTGCATTTCGTGAACTTCACTTGCTTCTTCTACCTACTAACCGATCTTACTCTTTTTCCGCGCTTCCAATTTCTAATTACTACTTGTTATGTTATGTTAAATACGAGACTAACCAATTCTACTATTCTTCAATTTTTTTTTTTGGTGGTTGGATTCAATTTCTTTTATGCCTTCTCTCCTCTGCATCCATGTATGTTAAATGTTGTTGTTGTTGCCTTATATTCACTACCTTAACCTCTTCTAGCGTGCAGATAGATGGGTTCTGTAGAGAAGAAGATGGACCTTGATTTTGATGAGGAGATTCCCTTCAGCTCTTCACCATCTACGTCTAAAGTTCGTACTTTGAATTTTGAGAGAACGGTTGATTTGCCCAAATCGTCTTTCTTTAACATTTTACGAGCACGGTGTATCAGCAGAAGCATATATGTTGTCTTAATTAAAGCCAAGATCAACATGTTGCTACCATTTGGTCCACTCGCCATATTGCTACATTATCTAACGGGAAAGCATGTATGTATGGAATATGGATTCATCATTCTTCGTATTATTGCCTTTTGCTTTCAATAACAAGAGAGCTATAATGTGATAGGAACATCAAATCTTCTACTTAACGATAACTTGTTTCTTAGTTTCGTTCGAATTTTTGTTTTGTTTTGGATGATGAAAAGATGATCCTCTGATATGCACTTTGATCACGTAACAAATCAAGACAGATATTAGCAAATCGTTGAATCTGCCACTACCTATAATCTAAAATTCTTTCTCATTTAATAATCATTACTTGGGTTTTTAATGTATGAATGACCACTTCATATCTGTTAGGGATGGGTGTTTTTCTTCACCTTATTGGGTATTACTCCTTTGGCAGAACGTCTGGGTTATGCTACCGAGTAAGTCTTGACACGTCTAATGCAATCTGATTTTAATTGTCTTCTTCATCTCCTCTTTATCAATGTCTAATACTAAAGACCAACTTACTAATCTTTGATGCAGGCAGCTTGCGTTCTACACAGGACCAACAGGTATAGTTGTAGTTTTTATTGCACAAATCTTTATTGTATCAAGCAGAGGCTATATATTATATAAGGTTGCATATTGGAGATAAATTCAATAGGAGCTAGTTTTGTTACCCAACTATGTAAACCTGGGCACATTTTTTTGGTTAGCTCAACGTGATTTATAATAACATAAAACTAGAGTGCTTTTGAGAATGAGTAGCACCTAGAGGCGTATGCCTCTTACAGTAACCACATCGCCCCCCTCTAATTTATTTACTTTTCTTTTCTCTCCTCTTTCTTTTCATATTTATCATATGATAGTTATTCCTTTCCTGTAAAGGCTTGTATCAAAGTGCATCTAGTCTATGTCAATTGAACTGACTTTTGTTGGTATGTGCAGTTGGGGGTCTGCTTAATGCCACATTTGGCAATGCAACTGAAATGATCATATCAATTTATGCACTGAAAAGTGGTATGATTAGGGTTGTTCAGCAATCTTTACTTGGCTCAATCTTGTCAAACATGCTTCTAGTTCTTGGGTGTGCATTCTTTACTGGTGGGGTTGTCCACAGCCAAAAAGATCAGGTTTTTGATAAGGTACATATCAAGACCTGATTGAAATTATTTTATGTAATTGTTTCTTTGCGTTTGTGTCCTCCTGATGTCACATAATTCACACTGTAGTTGGCCTTTGCAACAGGCAGCTGCTGTTGTTAATTCTGGGTTGCTGTTGATGGCTGTAATGGGAATTCTATTTCCTGCTGTGCTTCACTTTACTCACTCAGAGGTTCATCTTGGGAAGTCAGTGTTATCTCTATCAAGATTTAGCAGCTGTGTAATGCTAGTGGCATATGCATGCTACATTTTCTTTCAACTTAGAAATCAACAGACTTCTTATAGTCCAGTTGACGAGGTTAGTTCTTTTTGCGCCAATTTATTTTACTTTTTAGCTTTGTCTCATAGGTTTGTGATGTATAGTGATCTTGTTATGCTCCATATGATGTACTTGGTGTGAAACGCATCTGTTTATGGTATCCATTTTTTGACCTTTTAAGAATTCATGTTGCATAGCCTGCATTAGATGATTGGATTTCTCACATTATTTAAGGAGATAAATATATGTATTTTGCTGCTAGTTACAACAATGGTCGTTTACTTAATCATTCAATCATTGTCTTTTCCCTCTATTTAAACTAATGTTACACACTTAGTACTTGCTGGTCACCATTTTGCTAGTAGTGCCTTTTTTCACAGGTGAAAACTTCAAGATAAAAGGTTGAGTAGAGTTGGCGGATGAAAGAAACATGTGTATGTCAGCAATGTAAAAAGTTAATCCTCCCCAAACAAGGGCACAGAAAAAAAAGAAGGAAAAGTAGATCATTCAGTATTCCTTTTAAGAAGTTTTTTTATTTGAATCGCAATATTCAAAAAATTGTATTTAGTTAACTTTCTTACCAATAGAATGAGTGAAAATTATTTTAAAAAAAATGAAGCTGTTGAAATTATAGGGTTTTAGGTAGAAAAGGAAGAAGAGAGAACCAACTCTAAATAATATAATATCATTTGATCTATGGTGTGTAGTGATGGTGATACAAAATACAAACCATAAACTCTGTTTATACTAATAGAAGATTCTTATACCTAATTAAATAAGGAAACAAATCATGAAAAATAAAGAAATATGGAAACTATTCTTAAGAGATCATCTAATATAATCTAAACTATTCTAAGATTTATAATCATGAGATTATAAGTTATCCTCTTGATATTCTAACACCCCCCTCCCCTCTCTCTCGTGCTAAAGCTTACTAGGCTTTAAGCTGTTACAAATCAACCCTTTAGAAAAAGAAAACACAATACGGACTTTACAAAACATGACTGGAAAGGCAAGAGAGACGCTGGAGATGTCAGGAAGATAAGCATTGCTGGAAAGACAATGTATCAAGATGCTTGGAATGATCATTAACTTGAAGAGCCGGTTGGACTGTTGCATGACCAAAGTAAAAGAGATTTCTCTGTAATGGTAATCAGTTTGAAATTTCGTGGCAAGCAAATTAAACACAGCAAAAACTAAACCGCCAAATTCATCAAGAACAACATTTGGAAGCTTCAAACCACAAAAAAAATTAGGAGACTAGAAAAAAATGAAATTGGAACTGAGGTTGTTGTACATCTTAGCCATGGGGAATTCATTATTCATTGCCAACATGACTCATTAGTGAGATAGGAGACATAACCATCAATATGATTCACAATGAGAGGCTGGTATGAATCATAGCTAATTCATCATTGTATGACTCATTAGTCATAAAGAGGACTTTGGAATGATCATTTGTGAAAAGAGAACATGACAAACCTCAAATAGTTTGGGTGCCCAAACAAATCTAAAAGTGCAGTAGAAATGAGAATGGCGATGGGATAGGTTACAAAGGATGCTACCTCTCTAATAACATGTTGAAATTGTAGGGTTTTAGGTAGTAAAGGAGAAAGAGAGAATAAACATTGAATAATAGAAGGGATAAATAAGAGTTATGTTGTAGGAAAAATAATTTGGTTATGTTGAGATAAGACAAAATAAAATTAATGAACAAAGTGTCTTATCATATTTTTTTATTATTTTATTTTTTTGTCATTTAGTGTTGCATGACATCATGTAACATGATAAAATAAAGACCCATAATAGAATATCATATTTGTTTATGGTGTGCAATGAGTTGATACAAAATACGAAGCATGAGCTCTATTTATACTAAGGAGACTCTTAATCATAATTGAATAAGGAAACAAATGAAAAATAAAAAATTGTGGAAACTATTCTTAAGAAATCATCTAAGATAAGATACTCTATTCTAAAATAAAATCGTGATATTATAAGATATCCCTTAGATATTCTAGCAGAAGAAAATGGGAAAAGTGATTATTCATAGACTTCAGTGGAATATTAATAGACTTTTGAAGACAGTGGGAAACCTTAAGATCACAATCATTCTATTTTGTATCTTCAATTATTGATATGATTGAGCTTCTCTTAAGACATGCATGATGAAGGTATGTGGCTTTGCATTTCAATAGATGTCAGCATGAATGGATTGTTCTTTTTCGCTGTATTTATTTGAAAAGGAAAACACATTCTTCTTATTTGTATTTTTTTTATTTTTTTACTTTTTGGGTGGGGTATTAAACATATTTTATATATTCGGAAATATAAAAGACTTTATGTGAGTGAATTTGTGCCTATCCAATGGTCCTTTACACTAAATCTCTGTACTAATGTAGGAAGGAGATAATAGTGAAAATTCCGACAAGGAGGAAGAAGAACTTGAATTAAGTCAATGGGAAGCAATAATCTGGCTTGCTATTTTGACAGCATGGGTATCTGTGTTGTCTGGATACCTTGTGGATGCCATAGAGGTATTGCTGTAGAGTCTCTTTCAGAATTTCTTGATATTTAAGCTTCTGTTATTTGCACCCTCAAAGCTTCTACTCTCATAGAATGTTGAATTTGGGTGTTTATATTTCTTCTTAATTTTTGTTTCTTTGTAATTTATTTTTGAGGAAACTTTGTTCATAGAACATAGTCATGTTCTTGTATTGCCCTAGAGAGCCATGCCGGTCCAACTCACCAACACTTTAATACAATATACAATTATACTATCTATGCCGTTGCTGTCCGTGTTGACAATGAAAAACTCTAAAATCCCTCCCTATTCCTGTCCACAAACATTGCATCATAAGTTCATTTATAAACGTATTGTGTTTCTCATCTCTTCCAGGGAGCATCTGAGTCATTGAATATGTCAATGGCTTTTATTAGTGTCATCTTGCTTCCAATTGTAAGCAATGCTGCAGAGCATGCAAGTGCTATCATGTTTGCCATTAAGGACAAGCTTGTAAGTGACTTTCAAAGCCTATTCTTTATTTTATGGATACTGTTTACTGTTAATGGATTCAATCTCTCCACAGGATATCACTATTGGAGTTGCTGTTGGATCATCTACACAAATATCTATGTTTGTGGTATGGCCTTGAACTGTTAAAATAGATTTAGTGTACACATATTACTAAATCTTTATGTGAATAGACGAACCTGGATTTCTCCATGTCATAGGAAGACGTTTCGTGAGTTTATTAACTTTTTAAAACAGGATATTGGTCAAAAGAAAAAGTTGATGATTCTTATTCTCTTAATATTGTAGATCCCTTTCTGTGTGGTTGTTGGTTGGTGCATGGGAAAAGAAATGGACTTGAATTTTCAACTCTTCGAGACTGCCACACTTTTTATCACTGTGCTAGTAGTTGCTTTTATGATGCAGGTATGTGATATCTTTTTCCCCCCTATGAATTGTGTGGATAGCGGTTGTTAATGCTTCCCAACTTTGTAAGCAATTAATGGTTGGAAGATAGTTCTCTTCTAAGGTAGTCAAGCTTGAAATTTTAAGGTCTAATTTATTGATTGAGATTGAAAAATCCAAATGACTGGAAAGAAACAAAGGTGCTTTAAGAAAATTCTGAATCGTTTCAATTATTCATCATTGTCTGATATAAAAATTATATATGATGCTTCTCACGTAACCCAATTCAAGAATTAGGCAACAGTAATAGCTGTTATTGTATTTTATTTTTTGAATTGTGAATACTGAATTCCAAAACCCCGTTGTGTTTGTGTGCATGCCTTTGTGCAACATACATGAAAATGTATTGAGGAGAGAAAGGAATAAGGTAAATCGGTAACACCTTATGCTCCCTAAATGCACATGCATCCGTTTAATTTCATAATTGTTCAAGTTAGTAGAGAGTAGAAACGTTAATATGATCCGTACACAAAAAAAGGAAACATTAGTAAGCTCTCCTTTGAATCTGGAATTGAGTTCATGAATTCTTCTAAAGGCTTAGGAGTTGGTATTTTAGGTAAATGTTTAATACGCACAACCTGGGAATTTTTAAAATTTTTGATGAAGCATATTCTCATTTTGTATTGATATGTAATATTTACATTGGGCATATCCTAATTTGAAAATGTGGTTATGATCGATAACTGGCAAAATAAGATAAAGAAAAATCAGGTACTTCAATAGTATAATCTATACAAATGCATTACTTTTAAGATGATTTCAAGCAATGAGAGCAACATGTCATGAGGATCCATGTTTCGTGTTTCAGTTTCTCATTCCACTATATGGTGTCTTATCTCATTTCTCATGCTCTGATAATCTCATTCTGTGCCTTCTCTTTTTAAAGGAAATATCTTGCGATTTACAAATTTAGTACATATGCTGGGAAAGCATAAATGTATTTGGTTTTTCATTTTGCAGTTAAAAAGGGGGTATTTATGACTTATGCCTCTTATTTAGTCCGCTTTGGGTCAAAGTTACATTTTAGTATGCATGAGCTTTTTATTGCATTCTCTTCATCTGCGAGTGATTGGTTTGTATATAGAGTTGCTTTTTTCTTTTTTCTTTTTTTCCTTTTGGCCACTATAATTTTTTTGACAACCATCTTTAAATTGTTTTTATCCTTGCAGGAAGGAACCTCAAATTATTTTAAGGGCTTGATGCTTATTCTATGCTATCTTATAGTTGCTGCCAGTTTTTTTGTACATGTAGATCCTAAAAGTGGTGAGTTTACTGAGAATATACTCCATCGGTTATATATGCTATACCAAAAGTGGAATCTTGAAGCACTATCTGTCTAGTGTATATATGCTACACCAATAGGTGGATTGGGCAGTGCCACATGTCATTTGATTACTGAAAATGCATAAATTAACAAAGTAATTATGAACTTAAGTAAAAGCTCAGATAGTATATTACTATTATTAAAATGAATTTTAAAAAATAAAATAAAATTCTAGTAGCTTTCAGCTGGGGAATTTGTTTCCAAAAGCTTAAACTAAATAGATACTTTTCCCCCTCCTATGTTTACATTTAGAATTGTATATCTAACATACCTTTTTGAAGACAGAAATCACTGAACCCATGTAGTACATCTTAGTCATCTGGCACACCCATGTATCAAGCCTATGGGTATTTGTTCATCGTATCCTATTTGCTATGATCAACTTTTCTTTGCTGAATATGTAACTTTGTATTGTTGTCAATCTTTTAGCCGTTCTTAGAAGTAAAGGTAGTGGGGTTTACATTACGGTAAAGATACTGTATTCCTTAGATGGGGCTGTCCAATTTTTTGCTTGTCAGTTTGGCAGCAGTGAGTTTTGAATCGAGATCTAGTTTTGAATCGGTAGTTCCATATCTGGCTATTTCCTAGTAGAAAGTGAAAAATCTTTTTGATGATATTTGGAGGTTTCATTGGCATATATGTATAGGATTCGTTGTAATTCTGCTTGTGGAATATATGGTACAGGTGATGACTAAATATGTAGTGTGGGTGAGGCAGCTTTCCATGTTGCCTTTCTTTGCCACGTCCTGTACTCCAGAAAGGTAGTAAGCAGTGCGTTTGAATGGGTCCAAGATAATTTCTTCAACCTGCATTCAACATGGCGTGGGAAACCCCGAAGTGATCACACAAGCAATGCACTATATTGAAAATTTTCAGCCTTGTATTATATTGAATTTTGAAAGGATGTGTTATCTGTATTTTTATTTCCGCGGTTTTCATTCATTTACCAGAAAATCTTGTAGCGTTTCGGCTCTCTTATCTCCAATGAATCACGTTGATAATAACAATTCAATGCAATTCTTTTTCTTTTTCTGTTTTTTGCGTAATCTATTTGAAATTATTAATTTCTTAGAGTTCTTCATACGCTTTTTAGATTCAGTTATTGGAAATTTGCAACATTGATAAGCTACAAACTCTTCAGTTTGTGAGGTTGTTGCTTTGCACTTTTCATACTTTCTAATTGAGTATTAAAACTGGTCGCGCTAATCTTTATAGTTTATACCCGAGACTCTAGGAAATGGGGGCAATACGTTCATAACTAAAAAAACGTCAATTCTTGCGAACATTTCGTTCTAGTTTTTTTCTTTTTTCTTTTTTGATGAACCTGTCAATCAGAAAAAAAAAAATTGTCAATACTTTGATGAACTTGTAATCTTGTAGTCCCATAGAACTCCTTACGGTGCTTCTATTCTCTCGCGTATTTTCTACTATTACATTGATGAACTTGTAAGGAAGTTACTTAAGTCACTTTTAATTAGCTTGTATTAGTCTAGTATATGAAAAATTTAACGTAGCTCCTTTTAGCTTTTGATATATTCAAACCTTGGTTCTCTTTTTCTTGTCTACCCAATTAAAAGTCTATAGTTCAATTATAAAAAACATTAACAACTTCGAGGAGAGTTATTTCCAATCAAGAGAGATATTTCTGTGCTGAGTTATTCGAAAATGAGACCCCAAAAAGAGGACAAGGAAATCCCAATCCTTTACCAATCAACGTGAAAGCGTTGTTCTCAAAGAGGAAGATTATAATTACAATCTATTTTCGTTTATAATTTTTTACAATCATATCTTAACTGTTGATTTCTGTCGATCAACATTTATTAATTTTGCAAATCAAATTTCATTAACTAATTATTAATTCGTAATAAATGATAATCATTGATTGACAGAAATCAACGGTTAATATATGATTATAAAAGGTTATAAATGAAAATAAATTATAAGTATAATATTCCTCTTAAAAATAACTATTTATCATATATATTTCTTTTAATAAGACTTTATAAATAGTCATTTCGAGCATTTTTTTAATTTGTAATTCATTGACTTTTCATATTCCCATTTATTGATACATAAATTAATATAAAATTTTGGGAATGTTGCTAGCAAACCCAGCAAGTAAATGCAAGGATCTGGCTCAATTTCCGGATTCACCCCTCTTCCTATTTAATCAAAAAGCCAATCAACAATTGACATACTATTTTATAAAAAATTTATTTTACGTCAAGTTTTTATTTTATTTTATTTCATGACCCCAATTATTCTTGTAGAGCGAGTTACGTCTTAGGTACTCTAAGACTTGAGCAGGTTGAGGGACGTGTAATTATTCAATTTTGATCTTAAATATTTTCTCCAGAATTCGAATTCATACTCTTTTGACAGTTCGTTCATCCTGGAGCTCATATTGTCATTTGAGTCAATTTGTGAAGTTTTCTTAAGTGTTTTTTTGAACCTTTGGATTAACCAAAATCCAGGGAGGTCAATGCTTTATAATTTTTGACAAATTATTAAGAATGTATGAGTGATACATAATTTTTTTTTTTTTTTAAATGTGCATTAACTTAAATTTATATAATTATTTACTCTTCAAATTCCCATTTATTGATATTATGAAGTTGATAATTTGCTTATTTTACATAATTTGTGTAAAATAATAAACACAAGATTTTATCCTTAAACATAATACTTCAAGTCTTAACCAATTAATAAGTGACAAAACTAATGTGTTCATCTTTAATTGACTCCCTCACAAATCAACTTTTTGCATTCTAATCACTCATTAATTAAAATAAACATCAATTTATGTACCAAAAAATAAAAATAAAATAAACATCAATTTATTCATTTTGCTATCTAATTTTATCTGAAATTCATCTAATGTGGTTAATGATAAAATGAATTACTATAATGAATTTGGAAGGGTCCAAATTGAGAATCAACAAAATAGGGAAAGGGACCAAATTGACAAACAATAAACCGGAGCAATAGGAAATTAGGAATGCAAACTGGCTACCGGCAGGAGATCTTAAAATTCGAGTCATATTATTGTCATGAATGGAATATCAATACGGTGAGCTAACTTTAAGTGATGGAAGGAGTTTCTTAAAATTGACCAAGTAGACTCTAGAATTTAACTTCGTCAAAGGGTGGTTGGATTCAATTATAAAGAGTCGCAATTCTCGGAATGATGAAAAGACTCAAACCTGAAATCGGATTAGTCAGGTTTATTAAGATTTCGGACATCCGTTGTTGTTTAACAAAAATGAAATCCAAAATATAATTTTCTAAAAAAAATTACATTTTGATATTATAGAAGATTAAAGTCATAGAGTGAATCAAATTTTTACACAAGACAATTCTAAAAGAAAATAACAAAACCACACTTGTAACTTATACATGGTTGACTACGTAACGAATATACGTAGTGTGATCAAGCCCGAAACCACGCCTCTTCTCTTTTAGTTTGTTGAAGTTTGTGCGGGCATGCTATGATATGATAATGATAATATCATATATCTTGGAAATGAGATTTTCAGTTTGGAACACCTGCTGCTAGCTTTGCTCTTAGATCCTTACGCAGGATTTTTCCTGATGGTGATTTGGGAATTGCATCAATGAAGAATACTCGGTTTATTCTTTTGTAAAACACCACCTGCAAATGCAAAGACACCTTATTTATTAGTCTTGTATGCATTGCTATATTTGTATCCGTTAGATTAAGAAGGTTTGTAGTACACATCATAAATCTGTGATAAACACACTTATATTTGAAGGGTTTTATTAATCTCCTTCCACGTAAGATAGTTATCTTATGAGGTAGAGAGAAAATGGGTGAGTCTCACCATTACAAGAAAAAAAAGAAAAAAGTGAGGTGCAAAAATCGAAGTGAAAGAAAATGAGATAAGTTACCTCATGTAAAAGAAGAGTAATCTTTCTTATATTTTGAAAGTTAACCCTTCAAAAGTAGGTGGGAAGTGGGGGTGCACCAATTACTTAAATCTTGTTGACTTTTTCAAACATGGCAATTTCATATCCTCTGGATTTTTTTCTCTTTACTTTTTTGTTAGTCGTCACTCGTCGATATATGGTCCGAGTAATTAAAGTAATAATATCTCCATGACAATTAAAGAAAATTAATTTTTTTCTGTAAACTTATTTTTAAAATAAATAGGTAATAATTATTAAGTTTTAAACTTTAATGAGTTTTTATTACGGCACATTTAAATTAAAATAATAATAAAAACATAAGTTTACTTTACATTACCTCATAAAATATATATATTTTCATGTAAGAGTAAGTGTCTATTTGGATGAGTTTTTATTCATAAAAAAGTTGTTTTTTTTTAAATAAAAGTTCTTTTGAGAATTTTTAGATGTTTGGATAATAATTTTTTTGAAAAACAAAATTTAAAATAAAAGTTAAAATGCTACTTTTTTTATAGCCAGTAGTTGGTTGCTCTTGAAAAAAAGCAGAAATTAAAAGATAATACAAATTTTTTTTTTTAGAAAAAAGATAATATAAATTTTTAAGATATAATTTTAACCTTATCTTATCATACTTATTTTATCTATTCTTATTTCACGATCATGCTATTTTATCTCTTTTTTATTGTAATTTTATATATGAAAGTATTTTTATTTTATTTTAACATCAAAACAACTTTTTTATGTAAAAGTAATATTCAGATCATACGTCCAAACGTAAAATAACTTTACCTTTTAAAAAACATTATTTTCAAAATAAAAAAAATGCATAAAAAGTCATTTTTTAAAAAACTGATCCAAATGGACCCTGAAACTTAAAAGGAAAAGTCCATATTGCTATGCCAGAATTAAATTAAAAGAAGATTACTAACATAAAATAATTACAACGTATAATTTATTTGTTAATAATGTATTAAAATAGAAAAAAAAAATAGAAAATAGAAGGGGGGAAAACCTGTTTGGAGATAAACTGTTTAATCTCATCCTCGGTTGTGTCTGTGTAACCGTTTGATCTCACTACAAATGCAACAGGTACCTCTCCAGCCGCTTCATCCTTCATTCTGAAATTTAAATTTGGGGGAAAAAAAAAAAATTGAATTTATTTAATTAATAATTTATATAGTAGTAATAGTAGAAGAGATTTGGTGGAATGTAAAAGAAGGGAGAGTCCTTACGGAACGACAGCAGCATCAGAAATCTTAGGATGGGTGAGAAGAAGGGCTTCAAGTTCAGCTGGAGCAACCTGAAATCCTTTGTATTTGATCAATTCCTTCAGCCTATCAACGATGAATAACTCATCGTCATCGTCGATGTAACCTATGTCACCTGTATGCAACCAACCCTCTTTGTCTATGGTTCTCTCCGTAGCCTCTTCATCATTTAGATAACCTGACCATTTATGCATTCATTCATTCACTTGTCACAAATATTTTCAAATCAATTTTTCATAAATAATTTAACAATCGTATGCGTTTAGCTATTCCATAATTCTTTTAATAATTAATGATAATTGGTTTAGGTGATAGGTTATTCTATTTATCAATTTATTTTTTTTTGAAATATTCCAATCGGTTCATTGTTCCGCAACTAATCCGATTCGGGGCGGGTCCAGGATTAAGCTTTAATCCCTTCCCAAAGGTGGTACTGGGAGATTCGAACACATGCTCTCACCCCTATTTGCGTAGCTCTCATGCGCCAACTGAGCTACCACCATTTGGTATTTACCATTTTTTTATGTCTACCTTTGCCCTACCACCCTCCAATACCTTAGATCAGAATCTTAATCTCAAGGAGAGAGAGAAAGATAAATACTAGTTAAGATTCTAATCTAACGATATTTAAGAGTAGTAGACAAAGGTAGGCAAAAAAAAAATAGTACGTAAAATAATCTATTCTTTGATTGAGTCATACAAGATACAATATTTCGAGGTTAAACCCGACTCGAATAGAATTCTCTCCCCTTATAAAATATACATGATTTATTAAAAATAAATAAATAATATTTTTACGAAACAGAAGGATATTTTTATGAGACAACAACCCATTAAGACACTTCAACCTGAAATCCTTAATCAAAGGAGGGGGAGGTTGAGCTGTCATGTCAAGTTCAACTACACGCGAGCAAAATCTGTGTCTCAAAACCCAAAAAATTTTCTTCCTTAGATTGCAAGAGAAGACATTATATTATGTACACTAAAGAAGTGTTGATAAAATAGAAGAAAATAACAAAAGTGCTACATTAAAAATATAAAATAAATATTAGTTTAGCATAGAAAAACAAAAGTTAGTTACTCATATTCTAGTTTCAAGATAGATTATGTTACTTGTTAAATATAACATATTTTATTTTAGGGATTTTTAAGCTGAAAATTTATTAAATTAAAAATAAGAAAACGATGAATTTTGGAAGTTAATCACTTAATCTGATAGGTAGTTGTGTATAATTTTGGAAAGTGTAGAAGAATACCTTTCATGATCTGGTCGCCTCTTATGCAAATTTCACCGGATTGGTTTCGAGGCAAAGAATGACCAGTTTCAGGATCCACAATCTTCATCTCTGCATTTCTCACAACTGTTCCACATGCACCTGGTTTTACATCCATCGGTTCTTTAGCAAATGCTAAGCTCATTGTTAGCACTGGTCCTGCCTCTGTCATTCCATATCCCTGTATGTATTCATTCATTGCATTTTAATCCCTTATGCCACTGGTTTTTAAGGAAAATAATTATATATAATTTTTCGTTTCGTAACACGCATCCACAATTTTTATATATTGGGAGGGTGAGACAGAAATCGAGAGACCACAAGTGAAATGTCAATATATTCAAAGTACTAACTACGAGCTAGGGAGCATGTTTTACACTTTAGAAGATAAAAATATATATATATGTATATACAGAAGCAAAAAGACATAATAAATATGCATAATCATTAAATTATATAAAAAAAAATGTACAAGAAAAAAGTCATTTAGCACTAAATAATTACACAAATAAATATAATAATTTATATATAATTATTATTTATACATTAGACTTTTCTAGATATGATCTTTGTTGTCTAGCCGTTAACATTAACATATAATAATAATAATAATAAAAAGCACCAACTAACTGACGATAAGAGTATATTTATTGCTATTTTCTACACTTATTAGAAGAAGGAGAGTATTTTTTTATGACATTGACGTCGGAAGTCATAACTCGTAGTTTATAATAAAAACTTAATTTTAATATGATGTGAGTATATTTAAAAAATTGAACGATGTATATAAGGGCATACTTTCAGCTTATGTTTTCTTTACTCAATCATATAATTAGAATTAAAAAAATGTAAAATTTAAATAATTTATTTGATTAATATATATTAAAATTCTTAAAGTAATTTAATTAATTAGTAAAAAAAATATTATTTTTAAAAATATTTTAAGTAACTTAAAAAAACTCAATAATTAATAATTATAATGATTGATTTAGTAAAATTAGAGAGATCTGAAAATATATGAAGAGTTGAAGTTAAATTTTCGGGTTGCCCGTTTTTACACCCAAGTCTTAAATAGTCTAGTTTCGTCTTTGCCCTGACAAGTTTGGAATTTAATATCCCAAAACCCAAAAAAGAAAGAAAGTAGTCTTAAAATAAATAGGGTCTGATATTTGTCATTTTAAATGACATAAATTATGTCATTTTAAGAGAGAAATAGACACAAAAAATGAAAATCATGAAAGAGAGTAAATGAGTGATTTTTTTAATTTAAATTTAAAATAAAAAAAATTTCTTTTATGTCTATCTCTCTCCTAAAATGATATTATCTAAAATGACAAACACATAATAAAAGAAGGGTTTTATTAGTCTCTTTCAACATAAGATAAAATAAGTAGGTCCCACCATTACAAGAAAAAAGAAAAAGGTGGGGTGCAAAAATCGAAGTAAGAAAATATGATATAAATTATCTTATGTAAAATGATAGTAATATTTTCCATAAAAGAAAAAAAAGGGAAAATGAAAATGGGGTGTCGGTTAAGAAAGCTATGATGGAGGATGGAATAAACAATTAGAAAGAATAGGTACCTACCTGTCCAAGTCTGGCGTTAGGGAATTTGGCCCTGAGAGTGTCTTCGAGTTCTTTACCGAGAGGAGCTCCACCAGATTTCAACACCCGAATCGAAGAAAGGTCATAGTTAGAAAGATCGGGTGACTTAGCAATGGCCAAAACAATAGGAGGAACGACAGGGGCAATAGTGATTTTGTGTTTCTGAACGAGAGAGAGCAATGCATTAACGTCGAACTTAGGCATGAGGAGAATAGCAGCCTTTGCTCTCAAACCGCATAGTAAAACAGAGTTGAGAGAGTATATATGAAAGAGTGGAAGAACACACAATATAACATCCTCGGAGTTGTAATAGAGGTTTGGATTGTCCCCATCCACTTGTTGTCCTATGCTCGTAACTAAACCTTTGTGTGTTAACATCACCCCTTTCGGCATACCTGTCGTCCCCGACGAATACGGCAATGCCACCGCATCATCACCTTTTATCTTAACCTCTGCTAATTCCAATTCATTCTCGTCCGCGTCGCTCAATTCTGAGAAATGCATACACCCTTCTTCTTGGGGAGAGTCCACCATCACAACCTTCACATCCAAGTCCTTAACTTTCTCGTAGTAACTGGATTGGGTTATGAGCAACTTGGCATTGGAAGCCTTTGCTTGCTTTGCAATCTCAGATGCTGTGAAGAATGGGTTAGCAGCGGTTGCCATGGCACCGCGATAAGAAGCGCCGAGAAAGGTGAACACAAATTCAGGGGAATTGGGAAGCAGAATCATGATCACTTCACCTTGTTGAATTCCCAATTTGATGAGACCTGAGGCAACTTTACGTGCGGTGAGTTCTACGTCGTGGTAGGTGAAGACCACACCGGTTGGGGCATTGATAAGACAAGGCCGTGATCCAAACTCGGAAAGATTCTCAAAGCAATAAGAGTGAAGGGGAAGGTGTTTGGGGATGTAGATATCGGGAAGCTTCGACCTGAAAATGAATTCATCATGTTGCTGAGACTGAGAGGTCTCAAGAGCCATTGTGTTTGAGTTTATGATTATTGTGAGGAAGGAGAAAGGAAAGGAAAGGGGAAAGGAAAGGGGAAAACTTGTTGGAAGCAAGCAAGCAAGCTCTGCAATAAAAGGAAAGCTTGATGATCGTAATAAAAGGGATTGATTTCGGTCGGGGTTGGTGAGGGGCAAAATGGGAATGAAATGAGAAATGAAAAAATGAAAATGAACTATTAGGGGGCGTTTGGTTGGGGAAATTTTTTTGGAATAGTAGGGAACGGTAATAGACAGAGAAATGATTGGAAAGATAGATAAAGTGAGATAGATAGAGAAATGTAAAAAAAAGTTGTTTGGTGGGGAAAAACTTTACTGGGAAAATTAGGTAACTTTATGAAATCAACAGTGCATTAAAAGTCAGATAACCGGTTTTTCGAAAAATCTCACCTTCAAAATTGGGTTTCTAAACGGTGCGGATATCTATGTTTCTCATAAATCCATACAAATTGAATAGATGAGTTTTTGGTGAAAGTACGTTGAAACAAACGTGGTGTTTCTAAAAGCCATACTTCAAAAATATAGATATCTGCTGAAAAACTCCCAACCAAACATCCGTTAAGGGTTGGTGAGAGTTGTTTCGTTTTGGCCTAGGCTGGTGGGGTGGTGCATGGGTGTTGAAATTGAAACTCGATCGTGGTGGGGTCAATATTTGGTTGGGCCTCCTTTTTCATACGCCGAAACCCTTTTTACCTACTACAACAACACAATACCTTATGGCCACGAAACCTTTATCCCTCCCTCGCTCTCCTTGCACTCACTGGACCCTCTCTTATCCTTCACCTACCACACCTCACTATCACCCCACGCCATTTATTATTATCTTTCCGTTTTTTTTTGTTGTTGTTGTTGTTAAAAGGGCCTATTTCCCACCTGACATCACATTTGTCCTCATGGCCCAGCCCAGAATAATCTGGGCCTTTACTAAACCAATTAATGGTATTTTCCATTCATCTTGGTTACCCTTGATTAGGTTATGATGTCAAAATAATCTTGAACGTGGCTTTCTCTTCTCTTCCTACCACGCACGGTGGACTCTTGCATAGTAATTGGCTATAGACCGAACGGCTTGACATTCACATCATAAAAATGGTTTAGGGATATTGGAATTCAAAATGAAAAGAAAGGAGGGGAAGCTTAAAGCTAACTTGTAGAGTAATTTAGATCTGAGATCATGTGGACTGGAATGCCATAAATATATGGCTGTTAACGTCTTTGTAGTTGTAACGTAATTACGTTAACAATATTTAGTTTATTAAATAATTAAGTTGATGGCGAACAATATTCATGTTCATAAACTTTTTGAGTCTCGATAGGTCCAAATTTTGTATGTAACCACTGCCAAGTACATTAATTCATGCGATATTTTTGGAATAAACATAGTTTCATCAGATTCTTTCGTAATTAATTATTATAAAAAAAAATAGAGAGTGGTTACTTTTCTTTAATAAACAAATTCTCCTTTTTAGGAATGAATTGCATCTTTACGTCCTTGGAAGGTCATTCGGAATTTTATTATATGGTTTTTAGTTGCTTTGGTTGTAATACTTTTTGAATAGATTTCCCAATACATAATTTTTTGAATATTCTTGACCCTCTGCCTATTTATTTATTTATTTATTTTTTTTACACACCCTCTCGTGCGTCTAAATGGTGAACATCAAAATTATTTAAACACGCCTAGAGGATGAGCTATCTTACCTTCATATATATATATATATATATATATATATGTTGAAGCAAATAGCATTGGAGGTGTACGTACAAGTCAACGGGGTTTTAATTAATTTATCCAACAGCTAAAACGTGCCCCACATATAAATAAAACTATATATATATATATATATATATATATATACACACACTCGGGAAGGAAGAAAAATGAAGATGCATGCTTTGATGGACTCAACAACTGCAGTGTTGCTGATCTTTCTTTCAGTTTCAGTGTATTCTCATGGCACTGTTATCGTATCCAAGGATGGGAATGGAGATTACACAACTGTGAGTGAGGCTATTACGAAAGCTCCGGATTTGAGTGACAAACCTTACACCATTCACGTTCGAGCAGGTACTTATGAAGAGTACATCGTCATTCCTGCTGAGAAGACTAATATCAAGCTCGTTGGAGATGGTCCTCACCACACGAAAATAGTTAGCTACCAAAATGGTTCCACCATAGGTACGCTTTGCTGCCCTGCCCATATATATATATATGGTTCACTTAATTAACTCCAGCTTCATTTGATTCTTCTTCTTTATTATTCATCTCTATCTAGTTAATTTGTGATCTCTCGCGATGGTTGATTTCCCTCGTGTATGTATTGATTTCTTAACAATTAATAACACGTGTAAAGTTAAAACCTTCGCCATTCAGAAAACGAACAGTTTAGTAAATCAAGTATAAGAATTAAGCCATTAAAATTGATCTAGTGGTGAGGGTTTGGTAATTTGTATGAAGTATATAATTAGGTATCAAAGTAAAAGTCAAGACACAAACATGTCAATTTTTTTTTTTTTTTTTTTTTTTATGGGTGCTAACATAAACAAGCAATTTACATGAGCGTTTCTTGCTCTGTGTGATTTCACACCCAGATGAAAAAACAAAGAGGAGTGTTTCACGCGAAGCAATAATTGGTGCGGGAGAAGGTCAAGGGGCATTTGTAATTTCTATTGTCATTATAAGCTGTCTCTTAGTAGTAGAAAGTAAAACTAACTACAGTATTTTCAATTTTTTTACCTCCCCTCTATATCTATACTTTTGGTATTTTAAGTGTGATCGAGCGACCAAAAGTCCTGTATAATGAAGGAATAGGCTAAAAATAGCAAGGGCAAAATGGGCTAGGCTTATGGGCTGATTCGTCCCCTCGCGAAACGGGACGGGATAGACTGAGTTTTATAGCTCATTCTTAAAAGTGGGGCGATGCAAGTTGAGTTTATAACCCATTCTTAAAAGTGGGATGAGCTGGTTCATTTTTTGATGGGTTGATGACGGGACAGAGCGGGTTAGTGTAAAACAGTTTCAAACCAGAATATTAAGTTTTTTTAGCCCACTTTCAAAAGCCAGGTGGAGGGAGCTGACTCATTTTTTAACTTGTTGGTGGTATGATGGGGTGGGATGAGGCAAGATCGCCCCGACCCACTTTTCCACCTCTAGCTAAACATATAGGGTCTTTTTTTTTTATGTGACAACAATTTTTTTTTGTAGCAATATAAAAAGTACATTTTCCAAACATATATGGTATATATAAATGAAATAATTTTTAAACTGAATGTCTTAAAATTTTGAGTTGAGATATGATGTTAAACACTTTATTAATTGTGATTTTGTCACTTAGGTTGATTGATGTGCGGCTGCTCAACATATGTAGTGTGAGATGATTCATGAATACTACATAATATATAGAATACACAAAGTGTTTTATGAACTTGAAATTTGAACTCGAACAAGAGAATGGGGAATGAGTGACTAATCCAAAGAATTTATGGCAAATATGCATTTACAAGACGTAATTGTATTTTTATTTTCTTTATGCATTTTCTTAAATAACAACTTTCTTTAACTGATAATTATACCCGAAGGCATAATATACTAAGGGTTGGGGATGTGTTGTACCCGCCTGCAAAAGGCAGAAGCAGGTTTGTGAAAGAGACGGGTATCTATTTAAGAAGAGAAAATATTTGGTGAATATTTTAGATTACTGACTCCAAACTTGGAAAACAAGTGCCAACGCCCATCAACGACCTTAGATGTAGTAATTAACCTAACAATATATTTTTAATTTAGGTATTTGGCAACCTACCACGTAAATAATTGTAACCTGATTGACGCATGTGGTTGTTGTTATATTATTGAGAGTCAATTTCTAGATGTACTGAGCTTAATTTGCCAATTAAAAACCAACTTTGAGTCTTAGTTGTTTACTGTCCTTACATACTTACGTCATTGCTAGAACACTGCTCATTAATTATAGTCACAACGCCTTACATGTGCTTACATCTTTCTTTCTTAAGTTTCTTGTTTAACTTTTTAACTCTTCGTGTTATCTTTTACTTTTTGCTTTCTTTGTACAATAAATTCATTTACCCCATTCAATTGTCTATGATTTCTTTTCTTTTCTTTCCTGTCATCCTAAACGCAATCCATTTGGTCAAATTTTTGTTCCACGAGAAGGACAGTGTTTTTTTTTTTTTTTTTTTAAACCCTGCGAGAGGAATAGTTTGACACAAACAGTTTTAAAAGACCTAAATAATTAAACTGGGTTAACATGAGTATCAGCCAAAATATAACTGTAATTTCTTCTGTATGTGTGAAGAGACAAGATTTGGTCAAGTTTGTTTGACAATTCGAGTCAAGTTGATTTTATCCCTTGTCTTTCTCTCATTTTGTTAACAAATATGCATGTGATTTTGGTTCTGTATTCTAATCCAATTACCTTGACATAGTAATTGAAATAATTTGTCACTTGAAGATAAATCTCTTAACTGAGAAAAAGTATTCACTTGCTGGAATGTTATTTTATGTAATTGCAAATCCCAATGAAACATATGTTATTAATTAGTACAAATGGTTGCGTAATATATATGCTGTATTTAGTGTTTTTCCCATGAAAGATAGTAGTATGTGATTTCATATGATTTAGTCATGTAATTAAGCGTGTATTCATGGATCAAAATTTATAGTAGAGAACACTGGCGGAGCCGCATGTTATCTGCGAGTGATTTCGATCCAAACTAAATTTTAACAAATTTTATTTATTATATATAATTATATTATTAATTATAATTTGACTCGATTTAAAATTGTGGTTCTATAAAAAAAAATATATATATATATTTGGCGAGAGATGAATAAATTGTATTAAGTTATGTGTTTTATTTCTACTTATATAAATTTTTTTAATAAATTATAATTCTTTTTGATACTATCTACTGCTCAGATATTTTGTATTTAATATAATTTAAATATATTATGATATAAATTAATTAAAATTAAAAAAAATATACATATAATTTTTTGACCCAAAGTCGATAGAAAAGGAATTATGTATGTTTGACTTTGTTATTATTGAACTTGTGTCAGATATTTATGGAGACGAGTTCGTGGCCCAAAACATGGGATTTGTGAACTACGCAGGGCTAAACGCAAGTGCTGCAGTGACAGTTCGCAACGAGGCAAACAATAGCGTATTCTACGAATGCTCCATCGAAGGATTCCAAGACACATTATGGGCGGTTTCGGGGCGACAGTTCTACAAGAAGTGCGACATTTATGGGACGGTGGACTTCATATACGGCGACGCAGCGGCAGTGTTTCAAGACTGCATGGTATACGCACGTTATAGAGAGCACGTGACGTTCACAGCTCAGTCACGAGAGGATGGTAATGAGAAAACAGGGTTCACATTCCAAAGATGCAAATTCACAATGTCCCCAGAGGCAGAGGACTCTGATAGAAAGTTGGAGGTGCATGCCACGTTGGGGCGTCCGTGGAGGGCCTACTCGACAGTGGCCATCATACAGTGTTATATCGACTCGATTGTGGATCCTAAAGGTTGGGAGGAGATGCCGGGCCAGCCCACGGATAAGGTTACGTACGTGGAGTTTGAGAATGTTGGGCCTGGTTCTAACACTGATGAAAGAGTTAAGTGGCCCGGTGTTAGAGTCCTTCTCGACCCAATGGATGTTGCACCTTTCACTGCTTCCTATCTATTGGATGCTGACTCTTGGATTCCTTCCAAAGGTGTTCCCTATGATAATGGACTCTAGTCAACTTCTCTTCTCTTCTCTTCTCTTGTCAAGTGTCAACCCTTTAGTTAATTTCATTCCAACTGTATGTACTATGTAATTTGTTAAGTTTTGTTTAAGTGTTAATTGATACTCTGTCCTTTTTTTTAAGTAAAAAAATAAAACAAAAAACCAGTTTTTTTTAAAATAATATATTTATGTTACTGTTTTAAAATAAAAATTAATAAATTTAAACTTTAACATTAATAAAGGGGATAGTAATATTTATCATGATTTTAGGTTTTTTATTTTTTAATTATCATAGGATTAATTTGAAATTAAAAAACAAAAAAATTAATTAACATTAATTTTGTATTAATCTAAGGATTTCTGATAAGCATATAATCCTCAAAATAATAAAATGAAAAAAGTGTTTATCATCTTAAATAACATAAATTATGTTATTTTATAAATATGAAATGAGAAATCATATTCTTATGTTACAGAAGATTCATCTCTCATGTTACACTTACATAAAAAGGCGTGCTTTTTTTCTTTTTTTTTTTTTTTTTTTTTTTTTTAAAATTTGGTAGGCTCCACTTTATTTATTTCACAACATATGATAACTTCTCCCGTACTACATGAGAGAAGTAAAGCCCATACGAAATAGTTTTTACGGAAAAATTCATTAATGTCCATGTGATTTGTTTTAGAATCATCTATGACCCTGTGAATTGTGATTTTTTTTATCACATATGCATCCGTGCTTTGTAAAAAATAAAAAATCACAGGAACATATGTGATAAAAACATACCCTCTTGCAAACCACAGGAGTATATGTGATGAAAAAAATTACAGGAACATAAATTATTCTGGAGTAAACCACCTTTCCCAATTTTTTATTTAAAATTTAAATTAAAAAAACATCTATTTTCTCATTTTTTGTATCTATCTTTATCCTAAAATAACATAATTTATGTCATTTAAAAGTACAAACATCACACCCTAATAAAATAATAACTCATTAACATAAAAAAGAGAGATATTTTAAGGGAAATATTACTCTCCTTTCACATGAGGTAACTTATCTCATTTTCTCTCACTTCGATTTTCGCACCCTACTTTTTTTTCTTTTTCTTTTTTCTTACAATAATGGGACCCACTCATTTTCTCTCTACCACATAAGATAACTATCTTATGTGGAAGGAGATTAATAAAACCCTATTTTTAATACCAAAAAAATTCATTACCAACTAATTACCGATTACAATATTCTATTAAAAAACTTTTTAACATTCTCGCTAATTACATAGACAGTAGTAAATTAATAATTTTTTTGATAATAAAAATATCCACTCAAAATAAAATATAAACTTAAATGATAGGAAATTATTTGGATTGGATTTTGGATGAGTGGAGCAGAGAACAGAGATGTTAAGTGGCGGGGAAGGATGGAAAGGAAGAGGGAAAGTGTAATCTGCATGCATCTGCATCTGCATCTGCATCTGCAGTAAAGTAAACTAGTCTCGGATGGCGAAGTTGTTATTATCTTTATGGCTTCCAAATCCAAAGGTACAATATGGAGGAAGATTGTGTGTTAAGTGTTGTGGCAGTGATGAAGAGAAAGGGGAGAAGAAGAAGAGGTTGTCGAAGCAGTCGTCGTGGGAGGCGAAAGATGCAGAGGGGAGAGACTATCTGTACAGGCTTGGCAAAGAGGCTGATAACATGAACATCGCCGTTGGCCAGCGTGCTGGCGTCATCGATGACCTTTTCGCCGGCAATTTTCTCGGCAAAGATTGTAATTCATTATTATTATTATTATTTTTTCTCACACTTATTATTGGTTTGGTGTTTGTCATTTTAAATGAAGTTATCTCATTTTAAGAGAGAGATAGACATAGAAAAACGGAAATAGAGAAAGTGAGTTGTTTTTTTTAATTTAAAATTCGAATTTTCTGTGTCTGTATCTCTCTTACAAATGACATAACTTTCTGTCATCTACAGACACTTTTCCAATTATTATTATTATTATTTTAAACAAAAAAACAGTTTAAAAAATAAACACATATTTTTTTGGTGCAGCGGACATTGTGTTTGATTATCGTCAGAAAGTGACGAGGTCCTTTGAACACATTCAGGGTGATTATTACATCGCTCCTGTCTTCATGGTAATTTGTTAAAACTTGTACGCTCGCTTTCCATTTTCCCTTTCTTATTAAAATGGTTCATTTCCAAAAATGTTTATGATTATGTTTTTGTTCTTTGTTATCGACCACTTAAGTGCTTTCCACTTCTTATTCCCATCTCATTTCACCACTCTCCTTTAATTTCTATCCACTACAAATAACCACCCACTAATCATTGCGTTATACTATTAAGTCACTTGCAAACTATCCACTAGGGGCAAAACCTCCTAGTGTATTTTATCTATATATGACCTCCAATAGCTAACAAGCAGGAGATCATCTGATAAGATATCTCAGTATTCAGAAGACTCGTCACCATGGCTACAAAGTAAGTGACTCACACACACATCCATTGTTAATACCATCGGACTTTGGCCTAAGGTGCAGTACTTTTCATCTATGAAGCACCGATACTCCGAATTTTTTTTCCAACGTATCCGATACGCGTATCGGAAATGTGTTGTATCGTATCGACGAATTAACAGTCGTATCGAGAACGTATCGGGAACGTATCGAAAACGCCGTGTCGGAATCGGTGCTTCATAGCTTTTCATTGCTTGTAATCTTTACCATAATCCGTAAATACAAATACTAGCTATCCTGCTAGACATAAATGTTCAACCTGAACATTCTTTATTCAAGTTGATGCTACGAGAGACACACTTGTTAATTTGCACTTAGTGCCCATCTCAGAAATTTGACTTTGAAACTAAAGGTAGTGGATTGCCATTTATGAAGATACCTTGTGTATTACACACATGAGAGATTGGTTCTGTAGTTAGTACTTTAAGGAGTACAGTTAGGTTTCCTAGTTTTTTCTTAATAGGAAATTATATGTAGCCTGTTTGGGCACGTTGCTCTACGTTTACAACTAAATTCCTCTACTAGTGTTACCTTGTAGAAATTATTTGTAATTTGTTGTTTTCTGAACATTAGTTTGTTACTTGTTTGAGACTACGATTGTTTCTCTTTCCTTCAACTTCCTTGGGGAAAAGAAGAAATAGAAAAAAATGAAAAGAAAAAGAAATAGCCATTTCTTCGCTTACTTCAGTGCTCGGTGCCATGATCAGAAGATCATTTCTTTTGTTATCCTTTGATTTTCATTATCCCACTACTTTGAGTGTGTGAACTTCATCTTGATTTCCTTTTTTTTTTCTCCCCTTTTTGGGATACCATTGAATTTTACAGGTTCTCTTCACTTTCTTTTGACAGGACAAAGTTGGTAAGTTCTCTGAAAAAGGGCCATTGTGAGGAAACTGTGATAAGTCATTTTGATGCAGTAAGAATGCTTGGTAAAATTGATTTATTTTGCTCTGTTGTACAAGTGATTGTCACTTATTAGTATTAGAAATGCTATACTTAATGCATTCCCTATCAATTATATAGTCTTTCTGTGGGTTCCTTCGGAATGGTTCTGTTCCCTATCACATTGACTTAAAAACAACGTAGTTAGTTAATGCCCTTATAACTATTTAATCTTCTTGCGAAATTTTCTCAAAATCACAAACTTCATATACTGTGGGTTCATCTCTGTTTTCCTTTGTAACATTTCTGATTTGACCTTTATATTTAATATTCAGATTTTGAAATGCTACTGCACATTATCGTAACTTTTTTTTCTGTGAATGCAGTATGTCACATTGTGAAGAACTATGTTGCTCATCTCCTCAATACTAAAGTTCCTTTGATTCTAGGTATAAACAAAACTACAGATGAATTTTCCTGTGGCTTATCTAAAACCTTGAAGAAAGTAAAATAAGTACTGCCAAGGATTAATTTTAGGTAGTTTCTTTTCACACTTGTAGTTGTGCAGTTCTTCACACTTCAAGCATCCTAACCTGATGTATGAGGTGTGTGTGCAAGGAGAGTCCGATCAGGTGTGGTGACTGGTGAGGGAACATTTATCTCACTTTTGGGATACAAGGGTGTAACCCTTCTAATGGACCTTGGTGGCCGGTCCATTAGGCCTGTATGGCTGATTCAGAACAACATCAAAACCTAATCAAGCCAAATCCCACCCCGAAGGCCTTATTAAATTATCCATCATTTTAATGTTTAAGAGGAGTTTGATGGATAAGCTTATACAATATAGTGCTCACACCAAACATTTGATAAAATCATAATGTATTGTATTAGCTTATCCTATCATGCTTAATATGGCATGCTAAATAATGAGCCGTTACTCCTACGTGAGTTCACGCTTATACTTCCAAATCTAATCTGGCTGAAAAATGAAACACATCACGCAAAGAAATCTTCAGGCTTCATGTATAATTCTAAATGAATATGGTAAAGTTTTCTGTGCATTCTGTTTTAAAAGTTAACCTCTATTTTCTCCTTCTTCCAGGTATTTGGGGAGGAAAAGGGCAAGGGAAGTCATTTCAAACAGAACTTATATTTCAGGCCATGGGAATTGAACCTGTAATTATGTCTGCTGGGGAACTAGAATCAGAGAGAGCTGGTAAGTTGTTTGTTTTTATAAACGTAGTCCTTTCAATGCAATAAAAAAGTATTAGAGAAAGTGAATAAAGTAATTTCTATTTTCATGTTTTAATAGCATTGATGTTAATCAGTTCTCACATCTAATACTATAAAATGATTGATGGAATTATTCAGAAGTTGTCTTTATTTTTAATTAGTTCGTACATACCCTTTTCAGAATGTATTTAATTATGCACACTTATATAGTTTCTTTAATTTTGATTCTGATGTATTTACATACAAAGATATGTGCAACTGTTGGAATTACACCATCCTACTGCTTTCCATTGACAGGAGAGCCAGGAAGATTGATTCGTGAACGCTATAGAACAGCATCTCTAGTGGTCCAGAATCAAGTTAGAAGTTTTAAAGTTTTCGGCTTGTTTTGGTTTCAATGTTCCTTTATGTGATTAATTACACAACATTGGCTCTCAAAAAAGAAAATATTCCATTTTTTGTTGAAATTAACACTACGATTTTATCTTCTTCGTATGGTATTATGAAAATTTTGCATTAAGCTATCATTTCTATGATGAAGAGACTGGAAAGAAGAAAAAAAAATGTCATCATAAAAGACAACATCAAAAGCAATTTAAAATTAAGCTTTCTCTATTTTGTATTCAGAAAATAATGGTAACGTGATCTATTTGAGGCTTCAGTTTTATGGTAATAGAGGCTTCCTGACACTATTCACTTAAAGATGGGATGTGTATGGGTCGAACCGAACCGATTTTTTTGAAAACCGAACCGAATTGGTTTAAATGGTTCGGTTCGAAAATGGTTCGGTTCGGTTCAAAACTGGTTCGGTTCGGAAGTGGTTCGGTTTGGTTGGAAACGGTTCAGTTCGGTTCAAAACCGGATCGGGTCGACCCTATTTTGAAAAGAAAAAAAATTAAAAATTTAAAAAATAAAGTTATAAAAATCAATTTGGTTTGGTTTGAAAACGGTTCGGTTCAGTTCAAAATGGTTCGGTTCTTAAACTGGTTCTAAAAACCGGTTCGGTTCATGAACTGGTTTTTAAAAACCGGTTATTTTTAAGGGCGATTCGATTCGGTTCATGGTTCGGTTCAGTTTTTTGGTTATTTTGCGCACCCCTACTTAAAGATTGTCTTGCATACTTCACAATTATCTGTTTGTGGTTTTGTTGCATGCTCCCTTAACCCTCTCTTCGTCTTCTTTTTTATTTTATTTTTATTATTTTTTATTTTTATGATCTATCCTTCACGTTTTGTATGTGGTAATGTACTAATTCATATTTAATATCAGAGGAATGTAATTTACCTAGAAGGGAAAGCTCAACCACCTATCCTGCACCTTTAACTGAGTGTTGCTGTGTAAAAAAACACTTAAGTTATGACATACTGAAGGCTGATGTGTTCAATGTTCACCTTCTAATTTGGCTGAAATTGTTTATATCAATTTTACCTTTAGCTGCAATACTTATTAGTGGAACAATGTTATTGTAATTTAATATGCTAACGCAGTCTATTATTGTTTTCCTGATACAGGGAAAAATGAGCTGTTTGATGATCAATGATATTGATGCTGGTCTTGGTAGATTTGGTAAGCTAATATCTGATTTAGACTGGATAAACAGAAATACTTTGTAATTTTATTCCTTATCCCCTTTTACTTCTTTACACTTTGTGTACGTAGTGCATCTCCTAGTATTGCAGACTTATTTGGGCAACTCCCATTGAACATAATTTTCCTGTTTATATGTAGGGAATACTCAAATGACAGTCAACAATCAAATTGTTGTTGGGACTCTTATGAATCTGTCAGACAATCCTACAAGAGTAAGTGTTGGCCAAGATTGGCGAGAATCAGATATCACAAACAGAATTCCAGTCATTGTAACGGGGAATGATTTTTCAACTATTTATGCGCCACTTATACGTGATGGAAGGATGGATAAGTTTTACTGGTAAATTGTCATCCATCTTATTCTAGGATTATTATTATTTAAGGTGGCTTTTGCAAGGTGCATATTTAGATACAAGGTTTTAGTTGAAGTTTTACATTAGTATTGTGGGTGGAAGTTTCATGATTGGTAAAGCTATATGTTTTAGCGTGATTACATCATATATCACATTGCTTATTAATGACTTTGCAATATATCTGATTTCATGGAAGTAGGTAAACGATGTCAATCTTCCCTAAAATGATTTCTGCAAATGTGGAACAGGCAACCTAACCATGAAGATATCCTGAATATCGTTCACAGAATGTACGAGAAAGATGGCATATCTAGGGATGAAGTTGAAAGAATTGTGGACACTTTTCCTAATCAAGGTACTTCTCTGTATGTCATGTAGGTTCAGAAAAGTTTTACTTATCTGTTGTGTTGTTTAAATATGAGTAATTTCAAAGAACATGTTATTATTTGGTAAATTAAGGAACACAAAAGAAAATGTAACAGTTGCCTAATTTTTTTCCTTGGGTTGATGGCAATATGGTTTAAGTTTCATACTTGTCCACATTCTAGCCTATTTTATTTTCTGTGGGTGATGTTGCCTATAGAGTGCCCTTCTTTTCTTTTATTAGTTTCTCTGCATTCAAATATTATTTCATTTTATTCTTTATCCGAAGTAATTTACTTTTTACCAAATTTGCATTGAGGATAGAATTTGGAAGGCATCATGTCTGAGATTCCCCACCATTTATTTGGTTATTGACAGCACTGGACTTTTATGGAGCTTTAAGATCACGTACATATGACAGTTCTATTTTAAAGGTATGTAGATTCCTAAGTTTACATTAAGATCATACCAATCTTTATCTGACTTTCCATTTCAGTGTGGCAAAATCATAATTTTCACTTACCTTTATTGTTCATTATTCCGTTAAATATTAATGGTAGGTTTAGATACATCAAGACAAATGATACCAAAAAGAAAAAGAAAAAGATATACCAAGACAAAATCTCTCAATATGTGGCTCTGGAATGTGGTTCATTTGGCACAACGGAAATTGTTCATCCATTATATGAGAACTTATTGGGGGGGGGAGTAAGAAGCTTCGAGAAGAACTCCCTATGAGTAAATAATTATGTACTTAAAATCCTATTGGAACTGGGGTCGAATAATTAGATGGAGTTTGCATAGACAAATTAATACTGCAACATTTGCCTACTCCCGTCTTTTTTCCTAATATCTTAGGAGTTGATTAATCAATGGATACCAGATTTGTGTCGTGATTGTAGATCTAGAGTGAGAACTCTTAGTCTGTATGAATGTAGCACCTTAGGTCTCTATTACTTGTAAGTGTGCAGTACAAGAGTCCTAATCAGCTATGCGCAAAGTAGTTGTCTGGCTGCCGGGTTATAGTTCGATAGTTCAAGTTGCAGAAAAGTCTCGGATACTGTCCAGAGTTTGATGGTGGCTTTATTTGTCCAAGTAGACGTTTGACATTTGTATCCATGGATGTATTAACTGGACCACAAGAACCCTTATGCTGGAGTGGTTTATGTCTCTAATACACTCTCCTTACCATTTTGCCATAAAGGCTCTAATACTATGTAAAGAAAAATAATCTAGAGAAAGAACCCTAAAATTAAATTTGTAAGTTCTAACACCTTGCATTTTAATGTTAAAACTAAAGGAACGTGCTTCCACAATACAAGAGGACCACTGATACAACTATGCACAGTAAATAGCAATAAATACAAACACATGAAATAGCTGATATTTCAACAATGACAATTGACAACTGCCTATGATAACTGGAAGTGCAAGTTCAGAGATATCTAAATTTATTTTTTCCATAAAGATAGCTGTTAGTAACAGACACAAATTTGTGGTGGATTTTTAGTGGATTGATGATATTGGAGGTGTTGAAAATTTTGGAAGCAAAATTCTCAAAAGAAGAAAGGACCTGAACCTTCCTGTATTTATTCCTCCTGAGGTAAATTAATCAGCCCCTTTGTTGTTGATCAAATTAGTATTGATGAAATATTGTTTGAGCTCATTTATCAGTTGAAAATTATAGGCGATCATGAAATGATAAGATCTAGATATAGGCAAAATAAATTAGGTTCATGGATTATATATTCTGTTGTTATTCAAATTGACTTGACTGGTTTATTCTAGCATTAGGTCAAATATTATTTTATTAAAAAGAAAAGGATAAAATGGTTTTGAACAATTACTGATATTCTTATGCAAGCATGTTTTGTGTTTGTAGTTTACCATTGAATGAATAGATAGAAGATCAATAATCTAGTCTTTTTGAATTGAATTTATTCAAGGGCATGTCTTGAACTGTGACTTTCAATATGCTAATATAACTTGACTTAAGAAATTAAAAAATCCATGCATAAAAATTTAAAGGACACTAGCAAGTTGATAGAGTCCTTAACCCAAATACAAATCAACAACAGAGAACAAAGTGTTTTTGGCCTGGTAAACCAGAATTTTCATATATCTATGGAAATCAAGAGACAAATACAGAACCTATGACAGTAAACAGAGACAAATTACAAGAAAAGGAACGATTACAATTTACAATATCTGGAAATGCATAACAGTAAAGGAAAATACAGATGAACTTGGAAATAACAATGTAAGAAAATAAAGGATAATTGTGAGACAATTGGAGAGGCCTCACTCTCTCTCAAGGTTCCAATCCAATCCAATATTCCCAAATTCCCCCTCCTCTCTTCTTAACCAATTTCCCCGTAACCAACTTGCTCCCCCACGCTTGCATTCTGTTGGAGGGCATTTCAGTCAACATCTCCACTCGGGCTTTCAGCATAACCACTTCTAGAGCCAACAGCCTCTGCACTTGGATTAACAGCATACCACTTGGGCCAACTACTACATTTGAGGCCCAAATTCTTTTATCTTTATCTCTGCGGTACACTTGCTATGGTAGGATCGTATCACATGTCCTCAAGGATTTCTATCCATGATGTTTTATCATGTGATATCTTTATCATTAGTGTCTCTCTTGCACTTAGTACGAGATCTTTTACAATTAGTAATGTTTTAGTGATGGTGTAGCAATATTGACTCTCATTTAGATCAATTCTTCTCTGGCCATCATTTGGGCAGCCTCTGCTACATTAGACATAATCAGTTCTTAATTCATACTTTTAATATTTGGACATTTCATTTTATTTTTTTGTAAATGGGAAATTCACATAGATACTAATTGTAAAGAACCATTTCACCTAAAAGTTTAAGCTGGTTCATCAATGGTTTTATATTATATCTCTCTAGGCCCTTTAGGCTTGAAGCGTGGATATTGCACAAACTCATTTTTTTGGTTTTACCTTGTGCTGACTTAATTCTACTGAAAAGTAGGGGCAGTGAGGATCGAATTCATAACCTTGTGGCCACAAAGGTTCTGATACCATGTAAAGAACTATCTCCTAAGAGCTTAAACTGTTAAGTGAAGGCACATCAATGGTTTTATACTATATCTCTCAACACTAATTAATTTGTAGAAAGTTGGAAATATTTTTGGGGAAGCATAAATACGTATCTACTTGACCATCTTTTCTTCTTTCTCTCTTTTTCTTTTGTCTCTTTTCTATTTTTTTTTTAAATTTTTTTTTTCTTTCTTTTAACATATTTTGTTTTTGTGAAAAGAATGCAAGTGAAATTGACTACTTCTGTATTTGGTTGGATAGCAAACAGTCGATGCTTTACTCGAGTCTGGTTATTCTTTGCTCAAAGAACAACAGTTGATAATGGAAACTAAACTTTCCAAGGAATACATGAAGAATATAGGAGACTAATATAAAGGATGTTGTTGCTGTGGTGCAAGTCCTAAGGAACTATGATTGGGCTAGTTTGGAATCCTTGTAAAGTTGCTCTATCATGGACGAGGTCCACTTTCGAACAGGGTGCTTCTCTTTACTGATTTCCCTGTTTTTATAACATGCATTATTTATCAGGATATAACCCATTTTTAAGATGAAATGCATGAAATGTTATCCAAGAATAGTGTAATGGTATCTGCAATGTAATAATACATTGCGTGCTGAACTGCTGCACGATATTATTATTGTAATAACAGTTCAGAAGCGATATAATTATTCTTTTAATTTTAGCTACTAGTGTTCAAATCCAGGTTTTAGTCTAGGAAAAAAACCACAGATGGCTTCCAATGAGCTGCACAATTATCTACAAGGTTTACCTTCAATCATCAACCCAACTAAGATCCTAGTTGATTCATTAGTAAGTTGTCACTGAGCTGTGGTTTGTAAAATGTATTACTCAACAAATTCTGATTGATTTTCTTCATCCTCTTCCCTACTTATTAATTTTATCTGTGAGATACAATCTATGGCAATCAGTATAAATAATATATAAATTGAAGATGTATGTTAGTAACAATTTTGTTCTATTACATTCTTTATTTTTGAATAATTTTATGTAGGTTATATTAAATAAGAATGGTTTCAGCTTTTTCTTACCGTGATTCATATAAACCTTATTAAACAATAGAGATTGTTGAAACGAGTGTCTTGATAGCATTTTCAATAAACGTAATTCCCCCAAGTTAGTCTAAATTTTGTAAGAAAAGCATTTGTGTCGATGCATATCTGTATGATAATTGTTTGCCAGTAGGAAGTGTAGATTGTCTTGAAAGCTGAGCGTAACGTTAGCAAAGTCTCCCGGATTCTCTACAATGTTCTGCTAGTGTCAGCCTCACAAATTTGCATTCACATAAAACAACTGTCACAATGCAAAATGTTATCTTTTAGTGTCCTCAAACTTCGTATGTTAATGAATGGATTGCTGTAAATGACGAAATGATATTAACAGAAGCCTCAAACTTCATGTTTGTAGTCGTATACATTTGTGTTTTATGTCACGTAACCACCTCAGCATAGTATCACTTCCTGGTGGTACTGGACACATTTCAATGCTAGAATCATTTTGTATTTGAACCACCATTAGTAGTGAGCAACATAATGGTTTGACCGTGGCCAATGGTGGTCTTGTACCATATATATTAAGTGCTTTTAATGTCAAGGAACAATACCACCAAGAATATCATTGCATTCGTGGGATCAATAGTACTTGTTTGGCCACCACAGAATAAGAATATATGCGAATCTCTAGAGAGTTTGGATTTTAAGCTTTATGCAGCTCCAACGGTTATTTCTATGGATACATATACAACTTTGAATTCTATCTTGGAATGTATTCCAAAGATTCTTAGCTATTTCTGTTTTGATATCTAATTATGCTGAACGTCATTAAACAGAATAGAAAGAAATATACCAGACCTAACATAAAGCTCTGTCGCAATAAGACTTGTGTTACTTCATATTAAAAATAAAAAATAAATAAAAAAATACTGTTGAAACAGAGGATGCTATTTCCTCTGTTTGTGGTAGTTATAAGAGTCTTAATCTTGAACACTTAATGAAAAGACCTCCACTTCGAAAGCACACGGGAGGCGTTTGGTTGAGGAATTTTTTTTGGAATAGTAGGGAAATGTAATAGATAGAGGAATGATTGGAAAAATAGATAAAGTGAGATAGGTAGAAAAATATAAAAAAAAATTGTTTGGTGGGGAAAAATTTTACTGGAAAAATTAGGTAACTTTATGAAATCAACAGTGCATTAAAAACTAGATAACCGGTTTTCTGAAAAATCCCACTTTCAAATTGAGTTTCTAAACAGTGTGGATATCTATGTTTCTCATAAATCCATACAAATTGGATAGATGGGTTTTTGATGAAAATACGTTAAAACAAACATGGTGTTTCTAAAAGTCATACTTGAGAAACGTTCAATATCCGCTGAAAAGCTCACAACCAAACACCAACTATAGTGGATACTTGCCAACGTGTCTTGGATTCCTTAGGGTCCTCACTTATCTAAGGCCATCCTTCTATGTTAAGTATTTTGTGCTAATGACTGGTGAAAGTTACATTTATCCCAGAACAATCCAAATAGTCCAATCTTTATCGGAATCCAATGCTCTGCTAACTTGGAAAGTTGGCTACTTTTTAGTGGTACTAACTTTGAAGTTGGATTAAAAGCATCTAAAAGAACCAGTAATTTACACCCATTAAAAGTTCCAATATATAATTCTTACTCTCCATTTCTTGCCGTGTTTAGTGCAGTGAAGTGGAATGTAGACATTAGTTTATCTACACAATTCTAAAACAAGAACCACAACCACTAATGTTAGTTATTATCTTTTCTGATTGGCTGTGACCAAAAGAGAAGAGGGTGTGTGATAAAGAAGAATAAACGATTGTCAGATTTATGCGGTGGGATTTGAGATTAAAGAAGCTTAATGTGATGTACTTAAAAAAGAAGAAGCTTAATGTGTGTTTGACTTGAGCACATATTGGTGAGGCCCAGGTTGATCCTGCTTTTTTTATTGTACATTCATTCAAAGCAATAAAATTGGGTGGGATAATCAATATTTTTATTGGCGAGGATAATGCCCTTTTTCAGTATGATCAATCTTGTTTTGAGTTCCTTTTGTATAATTTCTCCACTCACTCACTGGCATTATTCAACCCCAGAATGATCCCAGTAGGATAAGCATATGCATATATGGTGACTAAGTTGAGAGTTGATCCCAATTAATTTCATAATGATGTCTCAATGTCGTCACCATTTAGCTTCTTTATGCAGCAACTCATGTAGCAATTATGATGTACTTTTAGTGTAAAAAAGTTTTACAATTGTATTTTTCATCATTTTATGATCTTCACATTTTCTTTAGTTGTTAATATAGTTCAATTCATTAAAAGAAATTGTCAACACAATATTAAACAATATTAAATGATGGAGAAGGATCAGTTTACAAATTTTTTTAAAAAATTATATTAAGTATGACCAGTCATACACTCTTGATTGAAGTATGACCGATCATACTTAGTGTAGTTTGTAAACAAAAAGTTTGTAAATATCACCTTCCCCTCAAATGATAATATAACCTTTTTAAATGGGTAAATGAGGACCAACTTTGGAGCAAAAGTAAGGTTGAGAGGTGACAAAATCACGTAAGAAATGTAATGGGAGTATACTCATGATAACTACTTGTTAAATATGTAGAAAGGAACATATCAATGAAATTGAAGATGCATTAAAAAATAATGCTCTTAAATTGTTTACCTACACTACCAACTAATCTCCCGAGATTGAAAAGGAAGCACTCACAGCAATTCTTCTGTAGTGCTCTGCAAATTTGGATGAATCTTCTAACTATTCTTTGTCGTAATGATTATTGCATGAACCAAAACAACGATGCTACTTGTTTATTATGAACTTTAATCGTTAGAAAGGGAACAACGGCTATAAAGCTCGAACTTGTCCCTCTCAGCAGAGGTAGGAGAGGCGAAGGGAGTGGGATAAAGTAATTGTGCTAGTAATTGATATTATTAAATATTTAGTTGATTCTAGTAACTCCATGTAGCCATATCAACATTATGCTGTCTCTTAATTTGACCATATGGAAGATGACAACTTTAAAATAATTCTCTCAAAGTAACATGAAACTTCCTAGCTAGAAGCAGTGTTGTAAAATTCGATCCGACCCGGCCGGGTCGACCCGAGACCTAGTAAATCAGTCATCAGACCGGTTCGGGTCAAGCATTGGACCAGTTATGTATTGATCTGGACAAAACCGGTCGAATCCGATCAAAACTGGTGACCCGGTGATCCGGTCGAGTCATGCATTTAAAAAAAAGAAAAAACCAAAAAACCAAAATTGTTTCATCTTGTCAGAAAAAAAATGTAGAACTCATTTATATTTATGGAAATTCTGAGTTACAATTTAAATTGACATAGTAATAGCGTGCATTTTTATTTATTTATGCTTCATGCTTTTGAGCATATTTAGTGAACCTTGTTTAATTCATTTTAGATATGGAGAATATAATTGAATTTATATGTTCATATATATATATATATATATATATATATATATATATATATATATATATACATATCTGGGTCAACCGATCAGACCAGTTACCCACCGATCGTACCAGTAACCTAATGACCTAGTACCCCGACCAAGTCGATGCCCAGATCGGGTTTAATAACACTAGTTAGAAGTATCATTCCTAACTGACTTTTTTAAAATCTATGATCCATTCGTTTTTATGGTAATAATAATCCAAATCAATTGTTTTACACATTTAATAACTATATATATTACAGCTTGAGATATATTCATCTTCGTCCATCAAAAAATTACGTCGTTTTGTTTATTTATTTTCTTATATTAATTGATTCACCTTTAAACGATTATGATTTTCTTTTTCTCTCTCTTCCTTTATCACCATTGATCCATCTTTATACGGTTATAATTTAGTAAACAGAAGCAACTTGAGAAACGATAAGCCTATATTATATATTTAGTTATATTATTTTGTGATTCTTATGATATAGCATATCTCAGTATATTATTAGAAAATAATGCATCCATATGTTATTTATAATATGTATTAGATAATATACAATATTTTTATATTCTAAAAAAATAGAGAAAAACAGAAAAAAAAAAATGTTGGATAAAAATAGACCTACAATTACAAAAAGTTACAAATTTTTATACTTTCAATTAACAATAAAAGCTAAAATATATTTACAATAGATAAGAAATTTATAAATTCAATCCAATCACTTGAGCCACGTGTTGCCTTGCTAACAGTTATGCAAGTCGTGCGCAAATATACGCGACAACAAATAATATAAGTTTTTGTGAGTCCCAATTATCGTTCCCACAAGGATCTTTGGCGTTTTTGACTTTGAATGAAAATTATAATTGCTAATCCGAACTAAAAATAAAACAAAATCAGATTAAGCAAACTGCTATTCCAAGCCAAGTGCAAGGAAAATATTTTTGAGAAGCTTTTCTTTTTCAAATAAAGATTCAGTTGTTGCAGAAATTTGAACTACTGACTGGAAATTAATTAAATGAAAGCATTGTAATTTTTTTTTTATGATTTTCTCTCAAGTTGTAGAATAGAAAATTAAAATTCTGATTTGAGCAAAAATAAGAAGTAATAACAAAGAGTGATTTAAAAACAATGTTTAAAAACAAGTTGGATTTCAATTTTCCCTTCCCTCATTTGCTATTAAGTTGCTTTGACAGAAAATAGATGTTGTTTTTTCAACAGTTCCAGCTTAACAAAAATACTCAAACAAGCATTGTTTCCCAACAACGGTTTGTTTTTCCTTCCATAAATAACAGATGACACATCCCTGTGTCATCTATTATTACAAGACCTTGAAGCACCATTTCCTTAAGTTACATGGGAGTAACTTCATCCCTAGAGCCATACCCATTGAGAAAGATCTCACTCA